AATTCTTCTAGTCAAGTAGTCAGGGCACATGCCCGCCCTCAGCGTCCGCCCCTCAGTTCTGTCAGCAGTTGCACAGTGGCATTTGGTCACCTCTCACGGTATGAAGTGCTGCAGAGGAGGAAGGAGGCTGGTTGGGGGCAATTTGACCACCCTGCTTGATGGGGACAGTTTCTCTTTCTTTTTTTTTTTTTTTTTTTAAAGATTCCATTTATTTGAGAGAGAGAGAATGAGAGACAGAGACCATGAGAGGGAGGAGGGTCAGAGGGAGAAGCAGACTCCCCGCTGAGCAGGGAGCCTGATGCGGGACTCGATCCCGGGACTCCAGGATCATGACCTGAGCCGAAGGCAGTCGCTTAACCAACTGAGCCACCCAGGCGCCCCCAGTTTCTCTTTCTAATCCGTGATTAATATGCCTCTCCTGATTTTAGAAATCCATCTCTGTTTCCTGATTTGCCTTTTCAGGGGGTCATTAAGAATCCGCTGTCTCTTGGATATTCTGCTCTATTAGTCAGGCAGAGAGAAACTCATTTGGCATGAATTAGGCAGCAGAAAAAACCCTTGCCATGTGGGAGTAACCTGTCACAACCTGGTTTTCTCTGGCCAAATGACTGGTCTTGTCTAGTAGTAATGCCATTACAACATTCCCATTCAGATCCCCATGACCCAGTAATTGTTTTGGGAATGAGTGCAAAGCTATCAGACACCAGCTACTATAATTAGAAAAGGGAAAAACAGACACTTACCAGAGCTAACGTCTTTAGGCTGGAGCATTTACGGCACTTTTTTTTTTTTAAGGTTATGGAGCCTCCTTCTCAGTTTTGCTTCCTAAAATACAAATTCTACAGTTTTTAGGTTCTTGCATTCCGGTTTTTGTTACTGCAGTACACTCTCTTTTCCTTTTCCCCCCTATTTTAATCGGAGTACAAATTGCTGTCAGCACATCGAGTTCATGTGCCAGCCACATTCAGAACAGGGTGTTCTGTGCTCTTCAAAACAAAATTGCTCTAGGGCAGTAAGAGAACAATAAGTCAGAGCTCCAGTTTAAGTGATGTTTTGCAGCAGACCCGGCTTACTTGATGTGGTTACACTCGGATTGCGCAGCAAAGCTCGGGTAATTTCATTTGGTTTGACTTCATGGGGTTTGGAGGGCCTCCCCCCTCCAAGTTACATAGACTTTAAGTCAAGAGAAAATGTTCCTTTCTGTGTTTTTTTTTTTTTTTTTCTCTACCAAAAAAGCCCTTAAGTAGAAGCATCCTGTATGTACTTTTATTCTCTTTGGGCACGTCATAGATCATTTACTTCCCGTAAATCATGCTGGTTGGAATTAGCAACAGACCTCCTGAGCCCTAGAGGCCGAGCTCCCAGTGAGTCATGATGGTTATTATTAAATATTTATTAAGTGAGTATTTGCACTAAGAGATGCAAGGTCAAAAGCAACCACAGGTCTTCCTTAGTCAGAGTTGCCACGGTTTTCTTTGGTATCAATTGTTGAGACAATTAAAAAAAAACAAAACAAAAAAAACCCCTGAGCACTGGACCTGTAGGAGCCAGGCATGTTTGCATCTGTCACCAAGAAGGGGGCCCCTGCTGTGGTGGTCGCGGTGTTTCTGTGACTCCAGGGTGGTGTGAGAGCTCTTGTCAGCAGTTTTGTAGAACTTGTCCCACCAGTGTTCTGAGTTTAGAAACCAGTTAGCAGAGAGATAGCCTTTGCTACTTGTAGATGTAAAGAATCCATGGGCCTGTGATACCTTCTCTTACTCTGACATTCCAGATGAAAAGGCGGTGGTTTTATAAGTACGTATGAACCGGTGTGTATGTGTGTGTGCATATATCAGTTGAAGATTTGATGGTACTGTAGGTAGTGTTCAGGTCCAAGTTAGAAGAGTTAGATTTAGCAGGAAAAAAGATTAGCCGCAGATTTTTACCTTCCTACCAGGTAACCATAAACACTGGTTCTGTCATTTACTGTCTCTCTTACACCCAGCTGCTTTCATTATCATTTGCTTGCCTTCCTTATAATTTGAACCCTTTTTTTGGCTTGCTTGCTTCACTTCTCTTTCCTAACACGTTTATTAGTAGCCAGTCTTTTTCCCCCTATTGTGATGGGTTGTCCCATGTAAAGAGAACTTCTGAAATTATTTATATAATTTTAACATCAAGTATATGAATCAAGCTGAAAACTAGCCTAGGAAACTGACACACAGGCAGGAATCCTTTGCAGAGTCTCTGGATTTCCTGTTTTGAAAACACATTCAAACTTGATCAACCAAAAACCACAATGAATGTACTGATAGTTTCCTCCCCGACTAAATGTACTCTCCTTTAGGGAGGAAGATACTTCTAACAATAAACCTCAGACAGAAAAATCTGTCAGCTGAGTTGTGAAGTACTAGGATAGTAAGTCTCAATACTTGAGAATATTCCTCAGTTCATGAGCTGAAATTCACTTTGCTCAGCAGTTTTTTTTTTCTTCATGAAAAGTATCATCGCATTAGTCAACATCAGATTTCTTGGGCAAATTTTAAAATATTTAAGAGCATAAACTTTTCAGAACTCACAATTCCTTTAGCAATATCAGCTTTATTTTAGTAAAAATATCTTAAGCCTTAGACACCCTGCAGAATCTCTCTAGATGTATCTGAAAATGATAATAAAGCTGAACTTATTTTGAAAATATTTTCTGGGGCGCTGGGTGGCTCAGTCGTTAAACGTCTGCCTTCAGCTCAGGTCATGATCCCAGGGTCCTGGGCTCGAGCCCTGCATTGGGCTCTCTGCTCAGTGGGAAGCCTGCTTCTCCCTCTCTCACTCCCCCTGCTTGTGTTCCCTCTCTCACTGTCCGTCTCTGTCAAATAAATAAATTAAAAAAAAAAAATCTGAAAAAAAAAAAGAAAATATTTTCTAATTCAAAAGAATTTTCAATGTGCTATCAGCTGATTTTTATTTTACCTAAAGCATTCCAAAAGTGACTGTAATAGGATCATCTACATTTATGACTGTGGGGCATAGAGCAAAATTCCTGTGTATCAACTCCACCCTGAGAGCCAGTGTATTTCTTGCCCTTGTTTAGAGAGTCATGCCTCTCTCTAATTTGGCCCAAGCTTCTTGGACTCCAATCCTACGTCTTCGATGGAAGCACATTAGGATGGTCTCAATTCTAGTAAATCAGAAAAGGATAGAGAGCTTTATTTATTTTTTTTAAGATTTTATTTATTTGACAGAGAGAAAGAGAGATCACAAGGAGGCATAGCGGCAGGCAGAGCGGGAGGGAGAAGTAGGCTCCCTGCTGAGCAGAGAGCCTGATGTGGGGCTTGATCCCAGGACCCTGGGATCATGACCTGAGCTGAAGGCAGACGCTTAACCGACTGAGCTACCCAGCGCCCCAGGATAGAGAGCTTTAAAGTATAAATGTCCATGTGACATTGTGGCTCTTGATGTCTATACCACCGCTGTTTACTTTTCAGGGTTTCTCTAATTTTTCAGGCCTGGACTTAAATAATTAACTGAACAAATAATTAACTGCAGGAATTAGTTTTCAAGCTGGTTTCTGGCCTGTATCGAGAACTGTATCACTGGGTCATAGATTCATAGAATTGTAGAGCTTCAGAGGACCTTTGAGATCATGTAATTCAAAAGTAGAGTAAGTTGGAATTGAATTTGTGTTTGGAAACTAATAACTGTCTCATGAAACAAGTATAACAGAATGAGTAATTTTTAGTCTCTCTAAAACAAGTTAAAGTTAGAGAAACTGGTGTTAGAAAAGAAGCATTTTAGGAAATTGTAACGTTTGAATCTAGGCCATTACATTACAGAAGTTAGAATAAAGAATTTTCTTAGGAAAGACCAGTTATTACATTGCTTGGTGACTGCTGTGCTATTGTGTGAGCCATCCGTTGTTCTCACTGAGTCAAAGACCCAAATGGCAGAGGATGAATATCTTCCATATGAAAAATAGTTGGAATGATTCAGAGAGTTGCTTGTCCTAGAAAAAAAGTAATGGATCAAGAAAAATATACATATCTACATGCATTTTTCCTATTTTATCTTGAAGAAACAAAAGCTCCTTATTTAATATGAAATTTCCCTGGGAATGAGCTGAGTGAGTTTAAGTGGAATAGGAAATTAGGCCCCAAGAAATTGACTTCTTAACATTTCAGAAGAGATGGTTAAATAATTTGATTTGTAAAATTATAGTAGACTAATGATTCCTTCACACTTTATAGTTACCACTCCACTAAGGGGTATAGCTGTGATATAGTTATTGATGATGTTGGCTTTGGGTTTTCTGGTTTTACTCAAATATATTTGTGAATGAGATTAGGACTCTTAAGAAAAAAGCGCTTCTTTATTCAGTTAACCTTTGTTTATCTTTGGGGAAATAATCATTTCGTTGTTTTTTTCCCAAGCATCTGAAGTCAAAATGTAGCTATAAATGTTTAAGTCATCATATACTTGATATTAAATTCGTGGCACCTTGATAATTATCTATTAACTATCTTGATCCTGTGTTACAGGTGAGGAAATCTCTGTCATATAGTAGGTTTAAATTAAACCTGTGTTTCTGCTTTATTGTCCACTAAGCTATCTATTTTTTTTTTTAAGATTTATTTATTTATTTTAGAGTGTGGGTGGGGGGCAGAGGGAGAGGGCAAGAGGGAATCCTCAAGCCGACTCACCACTGAGCTCAGAGCCTGACACAGGGCTCCATCCCAGGACCCTGAGATCATGACCTGAGCCAAAATCAAGAGTTGGCCACTTAACCAACTGAGCCACCCAGTTGCCCCCCCAAGCTATCTTATTGATACAGTTGTTGGTAATTACAAGTATAAACTTAGAAATAGGATTGCTCTTAAATTTTCAGACAGGGTAGACAAAGCATCAACAGGACATACCCCATGTGTCTCTAGATGAAATGAGAAAGGGAACATAATCATTTATCACTTCTCTAAATTAGCCAGTCCTGCGGAGCAGCCTTACTGACCGACCTGTCTCCTCTCCCTCAGTCCACCTGGAAGGCCGCTATGATGGAAGGATGTTTGATTGCAGAGATGTGGTATTCATTGTTGGGGAAGGAGAAGACCATGACATTCCAATTGGAATTGACAAAGCCCTGGAGAAAATGCAACGGGAAGAACAATGTATTTTACATCTGGGACCACGGTAAGCAGCAAACCAGCCAGTACACAGCGATCTAAAGGACAGGGATTTGTGTGTGTGTGTGTGTGTGTTATAAGAAGGTGGTCTCCTTTCATTGTTTTGCATGTAGCTCTTCAGTTTTCCCCACACCATTTACTGAAGAGACTGTCTTCTCCCCATTATATAGTCTTGCCTCCTCTGGCATAGATTAATTGACCAAATAAGTGTGGATTTATTTCTGGGCTCTCCTGTCTTGTTCCATTGACCTATGTGTCTGTTTTGTGCCAGTATCATACCGTTTGGATTACTCCAGTTTTGTAGTGTATCTTGAAGTCTGGGAGTGTGATACCTTCACCTTTGTTCTTCTTTCTCAGGATTGCTTTGGCTATGCAGGGTCTTGTGTGGTTCCTTATAAATTTTAGGATTATTTGTCCTAGTTCTGTGAAAAATACTATTGGTATCTTGATGGAGATTGCATTGAGTCTACAGATTGCTTTGGGTAGTATGGATATTTTAACAATATTAATACTTCCAATCCATAGGCATGGTATATCTTTCCATTTATGTCCTCTTCAGTTTCTTTCATCAGTGTTTTATATTTGTGACAAAATGGATGGACCTAGAGGACATTATGCTAAGTGAGAGAAATCAGACTGAGAAAAATACCATATGATTTCACTTATATGTGGAATCTAAAAAACAAAACAAATAAAGCAGAAACAGAATCATAAATACAGAGAACTGGTGGTTGCCAGAGGGTTTGGGGGGGTGGTTAGGTGAAGTAGGCGAAGGGGGAATTAAGAGGTACAAACTTATGGTTATAAAATAAGTCACAGAGATGGAAAGTACAGCATAGAGAATATAGTAAATAATATTGTGCTAATATTACATGCTAATGGATGATGACTGTATTTATCTTGGTGAGCATAGGGTAATATGTAGAATTGTCTAATCACTGTGCTATATGCCTGAAACTGTATAACATTGTACTCAACTATACTTCAATTAAAAAAAAGAACAGATATACCCTTGCTTTTTCAGTCAACGTTTTAGTGTTTTCAGTGAAGTTAATGCTAACAGTGGAAACGATTAAATCAGGCTACAGTTAGTCATGGAGTAAATTAATGAGCCATATAATATCACAAAGATCTGTGAGCCTGTTTACTTGATTATTGTGTGTCAAGGATAGGACTGACAGGTGAGTTTTGCTGTTTATTTGTTTTGCCTGCCATATTGCCAAGACAGGAAGCTGTTGGTCTGTCTCACCTGATTCTCCTGCCCCCCTCTTTCCTTTTCTCTAAATTAGGTGGGAGGCAGTAAGACATGTGAGGGTTGGAAGTAGAAGAAACATTTGGATGATTTATTACCACTTGAATTTGTGCCACCTGTTCTTATACAGAGTCCCTGAAAAAAAAAAAAATGTTCTTCCTGGATCTAAAGGCAGCAGAGATGACTCATTTTTGCCTAAATTTTTCCCATCATAAGGATATCCATTAGCACTTCCCAGCTTAGAACTATCAGACACTAACAGTCTCTCTTGTGAAAACATGTTTGGTATTATTTTTAGACCTAAAATTACACCACGAATCTAACCCTTCTATCTTGAGAAATGGACCCTTGAGAGAAACCAGGGTGTTTTGATTCTGTTTGCATGAAAGTGCATCTGCTTATCTGGAGTCTCCTCCCTCTCTGGCTCCTTGGATTTCAGTTCCTAGGATTCTGAGTTCTTGAGAATCTGGATGGCCTGCACTTACCCATAGGTACAGTCAGCCTTTTGTACAGTTGCTTGCCTTTGTGGAGCCTCAGGAGTAATCCAGTGGCATATTCACCTTTACCCTCATACGTGAACCCTAATTCTATTTCCCAGGTGAGGGTTTGGCCAGGCCTGCAGATGCTCTACACCTGGACCCCTTTTAGAGCCTTCATGGAGGCACCTTTTATTTCATACCTTCTTTTTCTCTGTCATCCTTTTTCCACTACTGTATTCCTGTTTTAGTGTGTTTTATTTACATTTACCCTATAGTTGTATTTCACCTTCAGGTGAACTTATTTCTCTCATTCTAGAAGGAACTATTTTTTACTCAAGTAGAGCATAGAGAAGGCTGTCTCCTCCGTATCCAGGTAATATCTAATTGTTTTTACTCTGGCTTTCTAAAATTATAGTTCTAGACTCATATAAAGAGAGTGGTATTTATGTCCACTGTGTGCTTTCAGATTTAAGCTCCTTGAGGATAATTCTGCATACATGCAAGCACAGATTATATGAATCAGTTCGTTGTATTTTGAGCTAGTTAATGGGGTGGGGGGGTGGCTATATCAAGTTTAATGGCAAAGAGATACAGAAATCATCCTTATATTTACTCATGCAAATAGTTCCTTGCACATTTAAATTGTTTGTTGTGTCATTAATGGTTAATACCCCCCCACTATGTACCTTACCAGCTGTGTCCACTTGTGCAAGTCACTTAACTCTTCTCAGCCTCAGTTTCCCCTTCTGTAAAATGGGGATAACAAGATCTACCGCAGAAAATTGTGGAGGGCTGAATTAGGAAATGCACATAAAGTGGCACTTCGCAGAGTGCCTGACACATATAAACTCTCAGTGTATTAGCTGTTATTGCTACTGTGGTGACTATTTTTCTATTCCCCTCAGACCACAAGAAAAAGGAAACCCTGTTTTAACATAAGGTAGATTTTTCAAATCTTTTCAGTCGTAAAAGTAAGCAAGTTTTCAAAAGTTTCTAGGTATGAAAGTTTTTTCATATGCTTCATAGAAATAATTCAGCACAGTTAGAAAGAAACATGTTCTTTTCTCTTCAAGATACCGGTTAGTGTGTTGAGGAGTTATATAAAGCGCACACTCTGCAGTGTGAGGCTCTCCATACGTGCGCTGGGTAACACTAGCCATACCAGGTAGACATCCCCACCGCAGGTGCATGTGCGTGCCTTCAGTGGGCTTGCTCGTCTTGCTCAGATCCCCACACACCACAAAACACTGCATCTGAGTTTCGCTTAAGTGTGGCTGCCGCACATTCACGCTCCATAGTTCTCTTGCGTCATGTGCATTTCATTCTCTAGATGTTCAGGGCACACCTCTGTGACTCTGACACACACCTTGGTAGGATGTTTTCATAATAAATTCATAAAACATTTCCACAGAATCAATTTTTCTTCTCAGCAGAACAGTATCTCTTTATATTGTGCTTAATACTGTTTAATACTTTTATATTGTGTTCATTTTAGGTAGGGTATGGCTAGTTATCATTTTTTTCCTCCCTTTCCTTACGTTTCTGTCCTATACCAACCCCAGACAAAAACACAGGCTGCCAAGAGCCATAATGTGTAATTATGAGGCAGTGCAGGTTAAAAAATAAACAGCTTTCTGGGGACACAGAGTCTGAATTTGAATCCTGACTCTGCCGCTGCCTCTTTGTGTGACTCTCTGAAAGAGAGAGTCTCTCTGAGCCTCAGTTTCTTCATCTGTAAAAATGAAGCAGTTGGTAAGCCCTTGTGGTGCAAGTACTTCTTGTATGCACATAAAGCCTTAATGGTCATTAATAGTCACGTTTTGTATCTCTGCTGTCTGCAGGCAACTGTTAAATCAAGAATATTAATACCAGATTCCTTCTGTTACTGTAGCCCAGTTTGTCGCTGGGCGAAGTCCTGGAATTCCATTTGTGGCGTTCTGTCTTTCAGTCAGATGAATTTGTGTGTTCTGGGTCCTTCCTCACCCAGGCCGTTCTAGCATAAGTCAGACAACTCTGTTTATAACTTGGAAGTCAGGCTAGGTGATCCCAAAACAGTTTGGTGTGGTCTTATGCCTCCCCAGGATGGTATGCTCCACATAAATCTTCACAGCGTCTCTTCATTTGAACACCCTACATCCTCCACCTCTAGCCTTGGGACTTTGATTCATGAGTTCCTCTAAGGCAACTTGTCTTACCCTCAGCACTGTCGACATTTTGGGCCAGATATTTCTTGGTTGTGCGGGCTCTTCTGTGCATTATAGGATGTTCTACCCACTAAGTTCTAGTAGCACCCCAGTGGTTGTGGCAAATCCCAAATCTCTAGACATTACCAAATGTCCCTCTTGGGGGGTGGATTAAAATCACCGCTGTCGAGAGTCACTGGCCTAAGGCAAGTGTCAGACTGTCTGTTGGGTTTGTACCTGTTTAGCACAGGGCTCCAGATACCACATGCTGTCAGTAATCATGATCAGCAAGGACTCACCTACCTACCTAGTTCCCAACAGTTAAGGAATGTTCCGTTATTTACCAGACGGTAGAAGCCAAATAGGAGATATATAAGTCTAAGAGCTTGAAGTAGAAAACTAGTCATGACTGCCTAAAATCAGCCACTGGTAATTATGTCCTCTTTGATTTCTTTGCTGAAGATACCCTTTGCCCTGCTATTAAAACTACCACGCCCCATTCCTACCAACTCTCTTTATATCTCGGTGCCTCTCTCTGACTCCAGCTTTCATTTTCTTGTGTAATAGTGGAGGTGAGTAAGCATTTTCTTCCCGAAAAGTTCAGGCATGGGGTAAAGAAAGTGGTGTAAGCAGCAGAATAGGTGTGTTCCCCCTTCTAGTTGTTTTGCTCCAGAGAAAATGGGAGGTATTATAGCATCTACCTGTTTTTGGCATCCTTCAGCCCATAGCCTGAAAGTTTGGGTTTACTAAGTTATCTTGCAATACCGTTCCATATATTCAAGAGTAGTTTGGCCTTGAAACAGATGGGAACAGAATATATTCCAGTGAACACTTTCATAATATGCTGGGTGAAATGAATGCTGGGAAACCATTGGACCAGACAGACAAAGCACCACCAGAACTTCCATTCGAGGAGATGTGTGCTTCTTGAATGCTCTGGGTTTGTTTAAAGACCTTCAGTGATCTGAGAGAAAATAAAAAGAGAAAAACAATTTATATACCCTCAGTCCTTTTCTTCAGTAAGTTTTGGCTAACAGGTGTAGAGTTTACAGTGAGAGCCACAGAGCTCCGAGAGCATTTCTCTGGATGAGGTGTTAGAGCTTGCTAGGGCTGTTCTTTTCGATGATGTATTCTATCATTTGTGTGTTCCGGTGTGCTTTTTTAATGTCTTGCAGAAATACTGGGAGGATGAATTTCCTTCCTGATGTGTGAGCCTTCCCCCCCCCCCCCCCATTTATCTGACTGGAAGCGGTACTACTGGAAGGAGACTGCACTTTAAAGTTAAAAGCGTATTAAAACAGCTGCTAATAAACAGGGCTGTAGCAGTCACAGTGCCTGTCGTCTCTGTCCTGCTGATCCGGCTTCGGGGAAAAGTCCTGATAACCAAACAATGGCTTTTTTATAGAAAGAACTAGATACTACATCCAGCAGAGAAAAAGGCAGTGACATTTAAAATCACATCAAGCAAGCTTTCCCGAGGAGTACAGGTGTTCACATTACATGTGATGGTGAAGGAGAACAGGAAACGAAATCTAGCCACGTTCCTTCAAAAGCCACAGCGGTGATACTTGGTGCTATAGCTCCTGATCCGCAGCTGGTTTGTCTTCAGGGTCCCTGATGTGTGTAATGTGCAGACGTGAGCTCTGTGCTAACGTGATGCCTCAGAATGCCAAAGGAAGTGCCTGGAAATACATCCGTGTTTTTAAAGTTTTGTTTTCTTATTCTCCATTTCAGATACGGTTTTGGAGAGGCAGGGAAGCCTAAATTTGGCATTGAACCTAATGCTGAGCTTATATATGAAGTGACACTTAAGAGCTTCGAAAAGGTGAGAAAACACCAACTTCTCTGCAATCATGGTAGATTTCTTCTCCATCCACTTCCTGTAAATGACTCTCTCATATTATTATTAAGTGGTGTGGACAGATGGTATTTATTCGTATGTTGTGCTTTTCAGGACGAAGTTTGTCTCTTGTCTTTGACACTGCGCCCCGAGTATGGGCGAGCTGATAGCGCACAGCTGACTAAGGCGCTCAGTGTTCTTACTTTGTTCCTGCGTGTCAGCCTTTTTTTTTTTTTTTTTTTAAACTTTTTTGGGTAGAATCCAAGACTTGTTCCCTTATTTGTTCCTAGACTTGTTCTTTCTGTACTTTCTTTCCTGGGTTGAAGACAAAAAGGTTCACGTTCTGCCAAGCAGCTCCTTGAGGGAGTGGGGCGCAGTTTTCCGATGCTGAATGGATCGTACCCTTCTTGGAGTCATGGAGAGGAAGTTACGATCCAAAATGCAAGGCCTCATGGGCCACCAGGCTCTGTGACAAGAGATACAAGAGACAAGCCTGCTGACCTCTGGCCTTTTCTCTTCCTACCCGTCCAAGCCTAAAAAAGAGAGAGGTTGTCAGTTGCCTTGGGCTCCAGAAGCGGCATCCCTCTGTCTCAGGCCTACTTCCGGAGGCTCCGAGCAGCAGCTGCACCCAGACACACACAAAACGGATGTCTGTTCTGGGCCTGCCACCACATCACCTCTGTATCACCAAGGCCCACTCTCCCCGGAGAGCTTCAAGAACTGCATTCCGTATGCCTTTTTTTAGTCCCACAGCACCACCTCCATGTTCTGTACATTAAGCTGTAGACTGGAAATGCGACTGTTTATATTTTATTAGATTCAGTAAGGAAACCATTGTCCTGTGGGGCTGTAACTTTGGGCCAGGAAAGTCAGGGGAGGACTGCTTCGGGCTTCTCCCCCAACAATGACATTCCTGATCATACACCTCGCACTCCATGTTCCCCCAAACAAACCTATATACGCTCTTGTCATGACTATCGCGTTTTGTCCGGTTACCTCTGCTGAGGGCCTGCCAGCTCAGCTCTGATCCTCCAAAGCTGCCTTCATAGCACAATGGTTTTTATTATTAGAGAGAGAGAGAAAATCATCTTTAGCATATGGTTATTTAGACCTTTGGCTTTCCTATTTCCATTTTAATCAAGTAACCCACAGCTCAGTGGACGATGCTTCTTGCAGCAAATTCCCACTGTTGTGTGCTGTGAGGAGCTGGCGCGCGCTTCTTGCTGAGACCATATTCCAGGAAACACTGCTCTCTATATTTGAAACCATGTGAAAGTGGGATGTTGTCGGAAGCAACATTTGAATTCTCCGCCTCATAGTATTGAGAATATATTTATACTCCATGAAGACTGAACTCTGTATAAAAAATGCAGAGGGCCCTTGTTACTAGATTTTTAAATAATAGAGCTAAATTGTTAGAAGCAACATAGGGTTGCCAGAAAGACTGGTAACTCTCATTATTCACGTGGTGGGGCGGGTGGCAGCAGGAATACATCACTAATTGTTTTTTGAATAGGGAGAATTTTACAGTTACCCACTGAAGTTTTGTAATTCCTGTGTAGGAAGTAGCACTAACGCAGTCCCTGTCATTTTCCCTGAGGATCCCAGATTGTTCTGTTGATGCTTGATGCGCCCTTTAAATCCAGCTGTTCATCCCAAAAGTGCAGTTGTCTCCGGATCCCTATCTCTAATGGTGGAGAGTAATAATACACACGATACAAAACAGCAAATGGTCATGAAATCCTTAGAAATATTTCTGCATCAGCCTTACCCTCCCAGTTATGTTTTATTTGAAATCCCCCAGGTACCCATCTGCAAGTTGACACAGTTTTGGAAGCTTTAGTTGTTTCAGCAGAGAAGGGACCGACGTGACCCGGCATTTAAAAGATTCTCTGTGAATATACAGCTGTGACTTGACTACAGTAGTGTTCCCATTTTAGAATTTGAAACACTGAGGCTTGAGAGAAACAACTTGCTGAAATTGTAATGGCAGTTTACTGGTGAAGTTTGCGGGAGGGAGATGAGGGACATGGGGTTTTGTTGTGTGTCCTCACCTCATAACTCCAGAGATGCGCTCTTTAACAGCACACAGCAGCTTAGGTTCCTTACTGTGTTTTTGCCTGCTCTTCCTCCTTGGGCAGCACGGGTCAAACTGCAGCTTGGTCATCATGGAAGGTGAGCTCTAGCCCAGCAGTGAGTGGGCACTGGCCCACAGTTTTAAAAGCTAGTGCGTTTCGAGGTGTGGGTATCCTAGAAGTAGCTGCTGTGTGTTCTTACATGCATTAGCTGATGCTTTTTCCTTCTCCGTTCATCTAACCCTTGTTACAAATTTATACAACAGGCCAAGGAATCCTGGGAGATGGACACCAAAGAAAAATTGGAGCAGGCTGCCATTGTTAAAGAGAAGGGGACTGTGTACTTCAAGGTGAGTCCTTGTACAGTCTTTTCTATCTCAAAGAATTTATTCAAGTTGTCAGTGAATTGTGCTGATATTCCCTCCTCTGAATTACATCAGCACCCTTTTGGGTAAGAGTAAGTCTGAATTTTTACAAGTCTGTCATTTTCAGTATTAGAAATGGTGAGAAAGAACGGATTAATGTGACAAAAAGAATACAGATGCCTCTTTTACACATTCTACTCTAGATTGTAACTCTCCATAAAGGCAGGCCAGGTCTGGCTTGCCCACCCACCACTGTATCACCCAAGACGTAAGGCATCTTGCTTGGTACGTAGTTGGCACTCAACAAGTGTTTGTGGAATGAAACAAAGAATGAATAGGATAATTGTTAGCAAGTGAGAATTTGTGGAGATAAGTTTCACATCATTTTCCTTTCCACTGTCTCAATCAAGCCACTAAGGCACATGACAAAAGGAAAGAGAACTTGCACAGATTCCAGAAGAAACCGACAGGAGAATATTCATTTCCTCTAGTGACCAAGATGATCCCTGCCACACTTGATTTTATGAGGAATCTTGAGAAACTCCTGAATGATATTTGTTATTGATTGCTTCTCTAAAGCCCTGTCTTTGTTACATCTAGTGATGTGTTACTTCCTCACTTAGATCTTAAAGCCCCAGATATAAGAGAAAAACAACACTTTATTCAGTTCTACTCAGAATGTTCTGCCTGTTGCTTCCCCGCCCCCAACCAAGTACCTTCTCCGTGTCCAGCAGAAAGGGTTTAGAGAGAAAGAGAGCGAAAGAATGGAGTTTTGTCAAGGTTTCTTGTTTTTCTTCTTGCCACTGCCACCCATGAACAAAATTTGGATGATGTTTTCAACAGTCTAAAGCAGTGATGCATAAATGTCCTTCAGCAGGTCTTTATGGAGCATCTGCTGTGAGACTTGCTGTTGCACTGACAACCTTGTCTGGGGGCAGGGGAAGCCGTGTTAGCCCCCATGAAACAGCTAGAGAATTATGTAAGACGAAATAATCAAAACAGAATTCACACAGCCGGGGGGCAACATGTGTGGTGGTTGTTTTTCAGACTGTGAGAATGGACTCATTACTGGGTCATGATACCAATTCAGTGGAAGTGTATTGCATTATGTAGTAAAGATACATTTTGTTTCATAAAATCTGTTCAGTTGTGTGTCAGTGGGTACTGGATCACGATTGAAAACATTTCTTGCTGCGGGTTATAGCTAAACACATTTGAAATCTGTTGGTATAGATAATACATAATTATGTATATTTATTTATAACTATCATATATACTAAAGTAATATGTATGGATCACCAGAAAGCTTTGGGGAATGGTGGAATGAGCTCCAAATTGGGAAAAATTGGAGGCTTTATGGCTCCAAATGGTTTAAAGCTATTTAACGTCCAAAGAGGTTACCTTTGTGTGTGAAAGGTGATGGAGTTAGGGGCACCTGGATGGCTCAGTTGATTGGGCGTCTGACTCTTGATATCAGCTCAGGTCGTGATCTCAGGGTCATGGGCTCGAACTTTGTTTCAGGCTCCACGCTCATCGGGCAGTCTGCTTATCCCTCTCTACTCCTCTCCCTGCTTACTTTCTCTCTTTCTCTCTCACATAAAATCTTAAAACAAAAAAGTGATGATGGGACGCCTGGGTGGCTCGGTCGGTTAAGTGTCTGCCTTCGGCTCAGGTCATGATCCCAGGGTCCTGGGATCAAGTCCTGCATTGGGCTCCTTGCTCAGCAGGGAGCCTGCTTCTCCCTCTGCTGCTCCCCCTGCTTGTGCTCTCTCTCTCTCTCTCTGACAAATAAATAAAATCTTAAAAAAAAAAAGAAAAGAAAAGGAGTTAGATTAGATGATACCCAAGTTTCTTTCCAGCCCTGAAGTTCTGTGAGTTTTAAAACTCTTGAGAGCAAGTTTGATTTTTTTTTTTTAATTCTAATTGAAATATATTGGGTACTTCTAAGCTATTCAAGTAAGATTCCACAGGAGTTATTTGTAGACTCAAATACACAATATGCTAGAATAAAATATTTTTTTGTAAAATCCCTTACGACCATAGGTCCTAAATGGTGTTTCCTATATACCTGGAGTCTGTAAAAGTCCTTACTATATTTTTTTTATTTCCCAAACTTCTAAATAGAATATTAATAGTTTGGGGATGGGGAGTAGTTGGGGTTTTTGGCATTTGACTAGAATTATATCAACTCTGTGTAGTAAAACAGCTCAGCTCTTCAGAAGCTCTAATTGGTTGCTGATGACTCAGAACTTTAGGGGACATTATTGGTAATGAAGTAATGTGGCAGAGCCACGTGTCATATAGCTGTGTCCTGAACACCTACAGAGAGAGATGGCCAGAATTAGTGATCAGTAGCAGAAAGCCGTGCTTCCGTGTCCAATACAGTTACTTAACTTTGTCGCTTCTAAGCATCACAATTGCAGTAGTGATTTCTGTATTTCATAATATTATGAACCCTCTTAAAATTACTGATCTTTGGATAAAATCTGGATCGGCAGTCACACATATGGAACATATTATTTTTAACATGCAATTTGATAGACAAAATCTGTCAAAACATTAGTCTGTTGGGGGAAAATTAATGGAAGGTTCAAAACTACTGACCTAAGACTTTTCTCCCAGAATGTCTCCGAACATTTTGTACTACTAGAGACTTCCCTGGAGGCACCTTCATAATTATAGGTAAAAGATCCCAGCAGGGATCCTAGTTTTAGATGTAAGACTTCAAAATGGTCGGCAGATAGTTTCCTGTACACATCCCCTTTTAAAATTTCAGGGCAGGTTTCATTCTGCCACTCTGCCCTCCCGGGCCTCGTCTTTCCAGAGTGTTTGACTTGGCACATGGAGCACATGCACAGAGTCCAGATGTGTGGGTGAGAGCAGAGATGGGGTGAAGCAAAAATCTACACTTCATGCCATCTGGTACATTACAGCTCCATTTTCATCGACCTGCGGGTTTGGTTTACACATAAGTGGGTAAATTGTCCGCTTAGTAAAGTGTTGAATCGTACTCAGTTTTAAAATGGGAATCATTTTGCTGTTTAGATTGTAAACTCCTCATATCAACCTCTAAACACTAAAGAGAAGAAAGGCAGAAGACTCTCTCCAATTTGGCTCTGAAAATAATTAACAGAGAACAACATACCATGATGCCAGGCATTGTGCAAGCCAATTAAACAGACCTGATTTTTGCCCTCAGAGCTGATAGTATTCTGCAGGACAGGAGCATTAACTATGGTACTTGGGTAGTGTTTCTCTTTTCTGACTTGGAGACAGAGTGGTGAGAAGGCTGAGGACGCTGCAGTGATACGGGGCTCTCGCGCCCCCTTGTGCTCCTTGAGAAAAAGACATTTCTCGAGCAAGCTAGTTAAGGGTCATCGTTCAGCCACCGAACCCCTTTCAGACAAACCAGGCTTTGCCGTGTTTTGACTTTGCTGAACCAAGAAACCAATGCTGTAATTTAGAAACAAGTCATCCGTAACTCTAGGATTTTAGGTTTTAAAAAAAACTCCTAAGGAAGTGTCCACCCTGCCTTCTTCTCCCTCCCTTCAGTCAGTACAGGATTTCTCAGCCTTGGCACTATTGATTGACATCGGGGGCTGTATAGTTCTCTTTTGGAGAGAGGCTGTCCTGCGCGTTATAGGATGCGTAGTGGCAGCCCTGGCCTGTGCCTACTAGATGCCAGCAGCACGTACACTTCTTGCAGTTGTGACAACGAAAGAAAACGTCTCAAAGCATTGCCAGGTGTGCCCAGGGAGCAGAATCACACCCAGCTGAGAACTCTTGTTTTAGTACATTAGAAGCAGAAATACCACAAAACAAGATTTCTGTTCATTGGAAGTTGAGCTCTAAATAAAATCATGATACAGATGAAAGAGTTTTCAAGAAATTAAAATGCTGCGTAAATGTAAAGGAACTATTACGAAGTCTGTTGTTTTTCGTTTGTTTTGGTTTTTTGGTTTGTTTTGTTTGCTTGTTTTTTGAAACCATAGCCCTCCACCATTCTGATTATTTAGAAGCTACCATTATTATTATTATTTTATTTTATTCATTTGAGAGAAAGAACAGGAGAGAGCACAAGCGAGGGGACGGGCAGAGGGAGAAGCAGGCTCCCCGGCTGAGCAGGGAGCCCAACACGGGGCTTGATCCCAGGACCCCGGGATCATAACCTGAGCCAAAGGCAGATGCTTAACCAACTGAGCCACCCAGGCACCCCAGAACCCACCATTATTATAAGATCTGGGTCATTGTCCTCCCTGGCTTTTTTCTTTCCCTATAACAATACATTAGGAGATACACAGAAAAGGTAACAGGTACATTTGAGGAGGAGGAGGAAGAAGCAACTAGGCAGAACAGAGAAAATACCTGTCGTCCTTACCTAATCTAAATAAAATGATACCTTTCGTTTCTACCCGCTTCTCCATTTCTGCTCCCAGTGATAAAGTTTTGATTCCATAGTTGTATCTTTGACTTTAATATTTCTTCAGTAAACCTTCCCTAAGGGCTTCTTTGTGCTATGTATCTTTGGATATTCCAAAGGGATAAGACATGATTTCTATTCTCAAATTGCTCACCATCCAGCAAGAGAAAAGACAGGGAAAGAAAGAAATGACAAAGCCTGAAACTCCTGAGGACTTTCTTTTTTGTAGTGCCCCAAAAAGGAGTAGTGGGCCTCAGGCTCTGTTGTCTCCATTACCTTGGGCTGCCATAATAACATCTCCAGGACTGGGTGATGTAAACAACAGGAGTTTATTTCTAGCAGTTCTGGAGACTGGAAGTCTAAGATCAAGGTGCCAGCAGGGTTGGTGTCTTGTGAGAGTGCTCTCCTTGGGTTCCAGATGGCTGCGTTCTTGCTGTGTCCTTGAACTGTCCTAGGTTCTTGCGACAGGGGAGAGAGAGGGGAAGTTGTCTGGTCCCTTACAAGGGAATCGATTAAGTCCATCATGAGGGCCCCACCCTCAGGACCCCATCTAAACCTGATTATTTCCCAAAGGCCCCATTTCCAAATACCATCACATTGGAGACAGACCTTCACCATATGAATTGGGGGCACAGGGGACACACAGTTCAGTCCATAGCACGCATAATATAATTTCCTCAAAACTTTCAGCATTTGTTATAAAAGGGCTTGGATTTCATATTCTCCTAAGTAACTGTTATCACAAATTTCTGAGGCAGAGAGGATAATAGACTTTGATTTTAGTACGCTTTCCTTCAAAACACTTCAGAAATTTCTGCACTGCCCTTCTATCGCAGAACCTGTGAGTTCTATAAGTCTTCTCTTCCCTAAACAAGTCACTTATGACGTGGGATGTTCAGTGGGGGGATGTAGCTTTCCTTTCATTCAGACTTAGGCCTTCCACTTGGAACGGGTCTGCCCCATCCTCATCACCAAAAACCAGCAGCAGGGCTTCTTTCTACAAGTGGAGCTCCTTTCTTGCACCAGCCACTTGAGGTCTTTTGTAACAGGAACATTCTCGTAGATCTGCTCTGGGTTTCTCTCTTCTTAGTCATTGGGTGACCTTTGGAGTGCATGTGGGGAAACACCTCTGCATTGAGGTGTATACACTGCTTTGACTGTGTTAAGTCCTAGTGATGTGATCTTTTTTTTTTTTTTTTTAAAGATTTTATTTGGGGCGCCTGGGTGGCTCAGTTGTTAAGCGCCTGCCTTTGGCTCAGGTCATGATCCCGGGGTCCTGGGATCAAGTTCCTCATCGGGTTCCCTGCTCCGCGGGAAGCCTGCTTCTCCCTCTCCTGCTTCTCCCTCTCCCACTCCCCCTGCTTGTGTTCCCTCTCTCGCTGTCTCTCTCTCTGTCAAATAAATAAATAAAATCTTTAAAAAAAAAAAAAAGGTTTTATTTATTTGAGAGAGAGAGCACATGAGAGGGGGTAGGGTCAGAGGGAGAAGCAGACTCTCCACTGAGCAGGGAGCCCGACGTGGGACTTGATCCTGGGACTCCAGGATCATGACCTGAGCCGAAGGCAGTCGCTTGACCAACTGAGCCACCCAGGTGCCCCCTAGTGATGTGTGATCTTAACACTGTTCCTGGGTCAGACATTGGATCTAGTATCTTCAGGGATCTGGCTACAATTCTGCCATCTAATAGGATGTGTCATCTGTTTTCAGTCTTACAGTCAAATCCTTCAGAGGAGATTCCTCACCTGGACTCCCATTTTATTTGTGTATTTACCAGCTGTCACTTCTTTCATCTTAAAATGGCAATAAAGACATTGTCTTGGCCCCATAATTTCTTGTGTAGAGCATATATATAGTTAATTCACATGAATTAACTACACAGTTGTTAGTCATAATTGTTAAAATTCTAATCAGGTTAGAGCAAAAATATGATAAAAAGATTTTTCTCATGTAATTAACTGGCTGACATCTATGTGATTTATGTTTTATAGTGATTTATGTTGTATGCTATTCAACTATGTATGGAAACATTGTAGATCAGAGGTCAGCAAACTACACCCTGTTTTAGTAAGTAAGATTCTACCAGGACACAGCCACACACATTTACAAGCAACCCTTGAACAACATGGGCTTGAACTGTATCGGTCCAATTACATACAGACTTTTTTTTCAATAAATGCTGTACAATATCATAAATGTATTTTCTCTTATGGTTTTCTGAATAACATTTTCTTGTTTCAAGCTCACTTTATTATAAGAATACCGTATAGAATACAAATAACAGGTAAAATGTGTTCATCAATTGTCTGTTATCAATAAGACTTCCAGTCAACAGTAGACTATTAGTAGTTAAGTTTTGGGGGGGTCAGAAGCTATACACACACTCATCATCAGGGAAATGCAAATCAAAACCACAATCAGATATCACCTCACACCTGTCAGAATGGCTAAAATCAACAACACAAGAAGCAACAGATGTTGGCGAGGATGCAGAGAAAAAGGGACCCTCTTGCTCTGTTGGTGGGAATGCAAACTCATGCAGTTACTGTGAAAACCAGTATAGAGGTTCCTCAAAAAGTTAAAAGTAGAACTGCCCTAGGATCCAATAATCATGCTAGTGGGTATTTACCCAAAAAATACAAAAACACTAATTCGAAGGGATACATGCACCCCTATGTTAATTGCATCATTATTTACAATAGCCAAGATATGGAAGCAGCCCAAGTGTCCATCAATACATGATGGATAAAGAAGATACGGTGTAAATATATAATAGAATGTTATTCAGCCATAGAAAGAATGAAATCTTGCCATTTGCAACGACATGGATGGAGCTAGGGAGTGTAATGCTAAGTGAAGTAAGTCTGTCAGAGAAAGATAAATACCATATGATTTCACTCGTGGAATTTAAGAAACAAAACCAATGAGGAACGGGGGTGGGGGAATAAAACCAAGAAACAGACTTAACTATAGAGAACGAACTGACGGTTACTAGAGGGGAGGGAGGGGGGAGGATGGGGGAAACAGGTGATGGGGATGAAAGAGTGTACTTGTTATGATGAAAAAAATGAAAAAATAAGTAAATCATTTAAAAATAAGTTATACGCCAGCTCTTCAACTGCACGGGGAGTCACACCCCTAACCCCTGTGTTTTTCAGGGATCAAGCATATTTATATATTGTCTATAGCTGCTTTTGCACTACTATTGACCGAGTTGCAACAGAGATTGTTTGGCCTGCAAAGCCTAAAATATTTATTATCTGCCCTTTTACAGAAGTTTGGCAACTCCTGGTTTAGATAACTAAGATTTGCTGTGTTTGCAGCTCGCACTTGCCAGCATGTAGTCTCTACTGTGGAGTGCTGATCGTCAGGAGAAAAGGGAAAAGTAACTTCCCCTTCAAGTAAACTAGCAATAGAGTCTAAAACTATTCACCAACCTTTCGAAAGTCTGGTAAATCCTAGCACCAAAGATTGTAACCCAAAGCCTTGATGCCCTCCTGCCAGAAGAACTGTCCCCTCTGAAAAGGATGAGGTGGTGGTGCATGCGGGAGAACAGCATTATAGAGGCCACTGGCCTGCAGAGAGAACGGAAAAGGGGGCCTGGATGGCCACCTCCTAAGAGCAAAAAGAAATGATCAAATACCATGGTTAGTATGAGGGGATTGCTTCATTTGGAGGATTTGATTTCCTCAGGGAGGCCTGAGCTTACGTTTCTTTTGTACTCCCCTCCAGAGCCTGTACAAGAAATAATGACTAGCTTTTTTTCTCCCAGGGAGGCAAGTACATGCAGGCAGTGATTCAATATGGGAAGATCGTGTCCTGGTTAGAGATGGAATATGGCTTATCAGAAAAGGAGTCTAAAGCTTCTGAGTCGTTTTTGCTTGCTGCCTTCCTGAACCTGGCCATGTGCTACCTGAAGCTTAGAGAATACACCAAAGCTGTGGAATGCTGTGATAAGGTAAAGAGCGTGTGCGTGTGGACTGGACTTTAGATGTTCCAGGTCTTTTTCTCCATCTTCATACTTGGTCGTCTTTTACTTCTTCTTAGCCAAGGGGTGGAGGGCTTTTCATTTTGCTTTGTTATATTCATTTGTTTACTTGGGATTATTTGTTTCTCATTATGAATTGGGAAATTCAGAAAGATTGTGATAACAGTGAGATTTTTTTTTAAGATTTCTTTCTTTTAGAGGGAGAGAGTGCACACACACACAAGAGAGTGGGGGAGGGGAGGGGCAGAGGGAGAATCTCCAGCAGAGTCGCCACTGAGCGGGGAGCCTGACACGGGGCTCGATCCCACAACCCTGAGATCATGACCTGAGCCAAAATCAACAATCAGATGCTTCACTGACTGAGCCACCCAGGCATCCCCCAGTGAGGGTTTTCTGATGCATAGACTGTAAATACGTTATGAATAAGTTTTGTTAAATTGGGGCGCCTGGGTGGCTCAGTGAGTTAAGAGTCCAACTCCTGATCTTAGCTCAGGTCTTGATCTCAGGGTCATGAGTTCAAGCCCCGCATTGGGCTCCACACTGGGTGTGAAGCCTACTTTAAAAAAAAAAAAAAAAGTTAAAATTCTTACCATCCATGACCTTCCTTAAATCTATGGTACTATGGTATTTGGTATCAAATTGGACATAATAACTCCTCAGGTTCAATGTAGTAAGAACAGACTTAAGCCTTTCAGGACTTAAGTATGATAGACTTGGCAACTGCTTACATAGAGGATATATACAAGCCATTTCTGTATACTTTTGGGATTGTTTCCACCGGCTAAATTTCTAGGTATGGAAATACAGAGTCAAAAAATAGGATTATTGAATATTATCCATGTTTTTTTCTCATTATTATTAGCAACAAAAAATTCTTTTCATTTTTATTTCTTGGTTACTAATGAAATCATACATCCTTTCATTATTAGCCATTTGTATTTCTTCTGTGAATTGCCTGTTCACATCCTTCAACTAGATTATTTATCTGATTTATATTAATTGAGTCAGTCTGTACATAATTACTGTTAACCCTTTGACAGTAGGAACCTTGTTCTCCTCACTTGTAAGGAAAGTTTTAATATTTACGAATCTGAAAAATAATTCTGTTCAGTACTTGCAAAACCTACTCTAACTAGGTATGCTTTTTAAAAAACTAATTAAAAATTACCCTGTTATATTTTGATGGGGGAGGTTGCATGTAAGTATACTTGGCCTAGAATCTTTTGTGTTTTGATATGAGGTAAAAATTTAATTCTTATTTTCCATGTTCATAGCCAGTCTCGGCCCCCATTTATTGCAGTTAATCCTTTCCCTACTGATTTACTTTCCCACCTTTGTTCCTGTTAAATCTTTTTATATACATGCACATGAATCTGTTTCTGAATGCTTTGTTCCACTGAACTGTTTGCCCACAGACTAGCAATCGAACTCTTAACTTCAGTGGTTTCATAGTGTTTTTTTTTCTGTGGTAGGTCAAGTCCCCTTTCACTTTTTTTCCCAAAATTTTCTCAGCCATTCTGGCCATTTACTTCTCCATTGAATTTTTAAAATGAACTTCTCAAAAGGCTTCTCCTAAGACCCCTTGGGATCTTTATAGAAATTGCATTAAATACTGAAGTTCACTTGGGTATAGTTAGTTGTATTTTGATCAATAGTATTTAATTACCTTGAGCCTCATCTTTTCAATACACTTTCTGCAGTCACCTTGGCCAGAAAGCTTTGGTAAGTTATTTAAATACTGAATTTCTTTGAAATGTCCACAAGTTGTATTCATGCTTTCTAAAATGTAGACCATCTGTCCCTAGGCCCTTGGACTAGACAGTGCCAATGAGAAGGGCTTGTACAGGAGGGGGGAAGCCCAGCTGCTCATGAACGAGTTTGAGTCAGCCAAGGGCGACTTTGAGAAAGTGCTGGAAGTTAATCCCCAGAATAAGGCTGCACGACTACAGATCTCCATGTGCCAGAAAAAGGCTAAGGAGCACAACGAGCGGGATCGCAGGATATATGCCAACATGTTCAAGAAGTTTGCAGAGCAGGATGCAAAGGTATGTACAGAACCACCTTGCCTTTAGGTACATCAAAAACTGACCTTGCCCCTTTGATTTTTGTGTCAAGAAGGTTAAGCATAGGGCACAGGGCAGGTAGACAACCCGAGAGGAATAAGAATGGGCAGAATGATTTCTGATCCAATCTCAGGCTGGTTTGGATCCAGAACTAGAATAGGCTGTTCTACTCACCAGATGTACAGAGTTGTGAGGCACTGACATGTCCATGGAAGAGAGGAGAAAAATAAGTTCCCTAGAGACATACTAAAGTTGGCTGGTTTTTAAAAATCAAACACATCAAGTATTTTTTCAGATAATACTTCTTTGTTGAGACCTGCCATGTTCCTGGGAAATGGGAGGCGATGGGAATGCCCCCGCACCATGCCCTTTACTTCGTCAGCCTCTCCCTTCCAGCAAAGTTGTCTTCTGGTCCTGAGTTCATCCTCCACTCCCCATCCCTCTTGTCTCGGCCCTCCCTGTGGCAAGCTAGTCCTGTTCACCGACAAAAAGTGAAGGCTACCCACTCTTCACTGTTGGCAGCACTGCCCTGACTTACCCAGCCAGGCCGGCCCAGGGAAGTCCTCGTAATGCCCTCCTGCCTAAGACCCAGCCGACAGTTGGGAGGAGCCAGGGACTGTGTGAATGTTTCAGTTCGTTTTTCCTCTAACCCTCTTGATTTCTTATTTCTTCCTCAGGAAGAGGCCAGTAAAGCCATGGGCAAGAAGACTTCAGAAGGGGTCACCAGTGAAAAAGAAACAGAAGGTCAAGCGATGGAAGAAAAAGCTGGAGGCTACGTATGACCCCACACAAAGGAGGGAAGAGCCCTGATGAACTCGGCCCCTCCTTCACGGGCTTTCACCCAACTCAGGACTAACCAGTGTTTAATGTCAAGTTTGCTAGAGTCTGTGTGAGTCTGGAAGCAAATGGCAAAACCAGTTGCTTCCCAGAAAACAGCCACCCTGCTGCTGCCCAGCGCTCTCCTTGAGGGGGTGGCATGGGACCACTCCAGGTGGGACAAAACAGAAATGACTGTTGGCGTGGCAACATTTAGCTGGCCAACAGCTAAATCCAGCTCATTTCAGTTTCTGTCAACTTTCAGTATCTAATTCAGGGTCCCTTGAGATAATCCTGATAATTTGGGGCTGTCTGTTAGGTTTTACATCCGATTGAACTTGAGTAGTACCGCAGAAACCTAAAAATAAATGCTTAATGACTTTCTCCTTTCCTACAGTTGGGTGGGGGAGAGGAGGAGGAGGTTTTGTGTTTTAAATGACTGAAGTGCTAGCATTTTTACCCAACAGAACCAACCCATGGGGGAGGGGTCTCGAACCCCCTCAGGCCCTCAGCAGCCCAGACGCGAAAGCCAGAACCTCAGAGGTCACTTGCTTGCTGACTTAGCCAAACTGCCCCCTCCCTAAGCCAGCCTGCTTGGGAGAACGGGTCTCTCCTGCACCCAGCCTGGCCCTGGCGGAGGGAGTCCAGAACATTCTTCAACAATGATAACGAGCACAGGGAGTTCCTAGATTAGCCTTCCCCTGCTTTCGATGAAGTTCTGAGATGCTGAAATGTGAAAAGAGCGATCAGAATTGTGCTTTTCCCCCTCCTCTGTCCCTTGTAGGAAGTAATGTTGAGTACAGTACTGCCTACTAGTATTCCTTCTGTTCCGTTTCTTATTTCCATTCTAACCCTTGCTATTAAGAATTTAAGACTGGTTCTTATAATATCTCTGACCTGGAGTAGATTCATTTACATATCCATTTAGGATTCACACAGCGGTGGTTTTTTTTTTTTGGTCTTTTAAAAATTAATGGCTCATAAACATGTATACTGGTTTATGAAACTTTATTTACACTCCTCTATCATGCAAAAAAAAATTTGACTTTTTACTACTAAGTAGTTTGATTTTTAAAAACAGTATCTGTAGAGTTGAAAAAATAAGGTGTTGTTCTTGTGCATGAAGGGTTTTCCTCCCAGGTTTGGCACGCAGTAGTTTTCTTCTCCTGCCGATGGCTTCTTCGTTCTGGTGTGAGTTGTGAAAAAGAATTGAAAACCGCTTCCTGTGCAGGCGCATCTCGCCAAAAGCTCCAGTCCCGGGGCACTGAATCAGGGCAAGTCTTAAAATACGTACACGTAGTGGAATCTTGGTCCTTACGGGTAAGTGAGACTGAGCGTGGCTTTCTCTCCCCACGGCGTGAGAAGCACTTGTGGGCATGTGTTTGCCACCGAAGGAAACAGTAGCTCCAACCTGGAACATCTCACTTTGTAAAATCCTAAAGAACACTGGCAATTACTAGTTTTTTACTTTTACGTTGGTTTTAGCAAAACATTTTCATTGTTAGGTTAGGACCCACATCAAAACCTAAAAATAAAATCCTTTCCATTTATACCAGTTTTCTTCTCCGTGAAACTAATGGAACTAACTTGTTTCTCCTTTGACAACTAGAATCCTTTTAATTTCTCATTTTTGTCTTTTTTCATGAGATTTCTTTAAAAAGCCCCAATCTCACCTGGGAAACATGAAAAGCAGAAGTTGATTTTGCTTTGTTTGCTTGACTCTTTAATATTTGTAGCTCTGTTGACTAGAGCATGACTCCAATGAGGCCAATACTGAGATTTGATCCTAAAAAGGCCAGATAGCTTTTTGCAGGTAACAAAAAAAAAACCCAATTCCAAAACTTAGATTATCCCAGCCAGTTGTCTCCCAGGTGTGTGTTATGGGTTACCCTTGGGGCGGGGGGAGAGAGCACACAAGAGTGCGTGGAGGGGAGGGCTGGGGTGTGCGGGTGGTTCGGTTCTGAGCAAACCATGGTGAGGTGCCCATCACCACTTGAGAAGAAACTTCATATATTCTTGTATCAAATTCAGTAATCTTAATTGTCTAGCTACAAATACTAATACTAGCAGATGTCTTTGAACTACCTTTCAGACTGCATTTGGAGTGCTGAGGCAGCATATGATGAATTAAAAACTTGGTTTAAAAAAAAGAAAAAGTCATTCAGATGCACTTTTTTGTGTTCCTTAAATAAATTAAACAACCAAACGTGATTTCCCATTATTCTTGGGTTTTGCTTAAATAGTCCTCAGGAAAAAGTTGTTTTGGTTGAAAAACTAGGGTGGGGGCCAAGCTGAAGAAATGTGATCTCAGAAAATTGGCTGGAGACAGTATTGTCCTCCTCACTCTGAGGCACAGCTTGAAATCAGCATTGGGGTAAAGGAATGATGCATCTTTGTTCAGATGAACCAAATCATCAGAAAAACGAGGAATTTGTTTTCTCATCAGCCAGTGGGTATTCCACCATTTTCAGTGTAAGGTAGGTTTCAGTTTGGGGAATGAAGAGATTTAATTGTGCCCTCTGGTAAATATGTAAGACATAAGCACGTGGCAGGTGACATCCTGGGTTCGGCATGCATTTCCTCGTTCTTACGTAGCACATTTCATCAGATTCTCATGGTTACACACCCTGAGGGCCTAAGGACAGGCCACATATACTAGAAAAGGTGACACGGATCGGGGCTGGTGACAAGCCTCTAGTAGGACTTCCTGCTGGCATGTGCACACAGGCCAGTGCGGGCTCCGGACACTTTGACCTTTTATTCCCTCTAAATGTCTTGCTTCATCTCGAGGTTTGGATTCTACTCCTAGCCCTTTGCGGCTAAGTTATCTGGTAACAAAATAATGCCCTTTATTTGCATGTTTTTTTCTAGGCAAATAACGATCATACTAGGGATATTAAGGGTAGCCGGAGAAAGTTTCCCAGCTGTAAACTTGTGACCTGGGTAATTCAAGGCAGCCTGCATCCACTCCAGAGCATGAAGAGAATCAGTGAAGAGCTCCGTCCATACTTACTCAGCCTTTCTGCATAGTGCCGTGGGATATATTCTCTGAAACTGGCAACCCTGGGATACTCACCAACATTCAGGACAAAATACATTGAATTTGAGCTGTTTAGTCAAAACCCCAGAACTCCGAATCCCCTGACCTAGCTGTATATTATTTCCATCAACTGGCTGCTTACGTATTTGAATAGCAATGACTGACAAAAGTGTACGTAAAAGGACATTCTCTCATGGCTTGAGAAAGTTTTCAGGGACCCTTACTCAGTGCTTCCTTTTGTATTTTTCTCCTACGTGGCTGACATTTGAGGGGAGGTAGGGACAGGATACCAAGAAGGCTCAATAATGCCATCACTGCTATTTGTGTGATTTATCTCAATCTATAATTGCACATCATGTACATGTGTGACCTTGGTAATACACTGACGAAAAGGGACATCGTGGAAGGTAACTCCCAGGAGGATCTTTGTCAGCATCCTGTTGGGGCTAGCCGCTACCTATAGATGGGATAACCAGAGCGTAGTCCCCATTGCAGGAATTCCTGGAAGAACCAAATGGGGGAGGACCCAGAATGGTGAAGTGGCCACCCACAGTCATCCAGGTCAACAGATGCCCTCACCCCATTCTAAAGTAGGTCTTTTTCTAGTCTGCAGCATGATCTCTTGACCACCAGAATGGGCTGTCGGTTGTTCTTTAAAATTCCACACATTTGGTAAACCCAAAATGGCAGCAGAGCCACAGGTCTCGTAATTCTACTTTGGAGTAAAAATACGGGAAATGCACTAGTATGTAAAGGATAGGCATGTTTTGATTTTTAAAGAATGCTCTGGTGAAGCTGGTCAAAGGGTATACAAGAACTTTCTGTACTATCTTTGCAGCTCTTCTATAAATCTAAAATTATTCAAGACTTAAAAAAAAAATTAAGTGTATGGGTAAAATGCCCTTTACCCAGCTCCAGAAATTCTGGTAATTTATTCTAAGGAAGTAATTTAAGATGTATGCAAAGATTTAGTCATAAGATGTTAATAGGAAGCAAATGTACATAAAAGGGGATTGGATAAATATAATGAAGCATTACAATCCGTGGCATATTCTACAGTTACTAAAATGGTATTTTACAAGTATTTTCAATGATCTGGTATAGGAGCTCTGACAATCCTGACTTCATCTTTGGGCCTCCCTCTTGTTCATGTTTGCTCAGAAACCTCTCTTGGGGCTGTGTGTTCCAGGTCCCTTGGAAGTTAATAACATCCCTTAGAAATGCCCACCAAGGCCAGGATGAGGGGAGGCTTGTTTTGGCCGCCCATGAATCTGTTAGAGATCATCATCTTTACCTTCCTAATACACAGGTGGTGCCACAAGATCTAATTAAGAGTTAGCCGTCAGGTCCATGTAAGCCCTCTGAGGTGCATATGAACCCTCTGGTCTCGCTATAATGCTCTTCAGCATGTCCCCTCACTGTAAAATCTGTGAACTAAGGTCTGGACCTTGCAAGAGAATAACTATGTAGCTGCCGTGGAACATCCTCCGTCTGATGCCCCACTGTCGTAAGTTACCTGGAATAAAACTCTGTAAACCATTAAAAAAAAAAAAATGCTCTGGGTTGAGAGAAGGAATTTCGGTGTTCGGGTTCTTCTTTTTCAGATTCTCTTCTCGAGGTATTAGAATCTCACAACCCACCACCTTGGAGTCCGGTTGGAGCAAGAAAAGGCAAAAGGTTTTCCTTTCCACTCTGCTCATTATGAGCAGACACTTAAATATTCATGCTTGGTGGGACCACACCTTTTTAACATAATCAAGGCCAAATAGTAAAATCTTCAATGATGGCCAGGCATGGACAAGGGTAGGGGAGGTATCAGCTGCTAAGAATAGTGCATAGGAAGAGCTGTCCTGCAGCCACAAGCTAATACTGGTGCTGACTACTAGTCACCTAGTGCTTTGCTCTGCCAGGAACTTAAACCCCCTCCCCCCACGGATCTTCCAAATATAAAAAGAATATGCTGCACTGTTTCCACCTTCCAATTCTCTTACAAGATCATGTGGTCCCTACCCAAAACTATGCAAAGAAGGAATGCATTTCAAACTGGGCTTCATTGATGCATTACAAATACACTGTCTAAGCCTTTCTTTAGGTAGTAAATATTTCTGGCCTGGGTCTGCTTTGGATCATGTGTTTTTATAAGATAACTCCTTGCTGTACACATTGTGACTTGGCTTTAAAATGATCTCTTCAAAAATATCTGACCAAGGAGGTAAGGTGGGAAGAACAAGGAGCCAATGATTGGTATTTGGGGATGCCATGTCCAATTCTAGTTGCTCTACTAATTTACCTGATGTCTGCTCACAGCTACCTTTTCACACTGAGAATTGCTGATCCCGTCAGTCTAAAAATTTTAGCCTACATGTATACTCTCACCCTTTACAGACACCAAAGTCTTCCTAAAAGTGACATCGGCCTGGACACACAATATTCATGTGACCACCACTGAAGGATCCAGGAACTCACTTATTCCTTGACTCCTCACCATCTCAGCACCTAGTACACCATCGCCAATCTAGTACACAGTAGATGCTCAATAAATTGGTTTCCTGTCTTTTCTCATAAAGCAGCCCCACGCCTCGATCTCAGTGGCCCTTCATTCCTGCTACTTGTCTTGATAATGTGGAGGCCAGAACCACATGGTTTCCTAGCAATTCCTACAACCTGATTTTGGTGTAGAATTCCTTGAGGTGGTGAACCAGCAGCAACTTGAGTAGAGCCGGAGGGGTGGGGGGGGGGGGAGCATAAGTGCAAAATAGGTCTGTGGTATTCAGGCTACGCTGATTTTAAATCTACCTCCAGTCACACTGATAAGAGTTCAGCTTGAGGGCGCCTGGGTGGCTCAGTTGGTTAAACGACTGCCTTCGGCTCAGGTCATGATCCCGGAGTCCCGGAATCGAGTCCCGCATCGGGCTCCCTGCTCAGCAGGGGGTCTGCTTCTCCCTCTGACCCTCCCCCCTCTCATGCTCTCTCTATCTCAGTCTCTCTCTCTCAAATAAATAAATAAAATCTTAAAAAAAAAAAGGAGTTCAGCTTGAACAGATCAAATGGAGGAAGATTCTGGGAAGATGGCAGAGTAGGAAGCACCAGGAATCTCTCCCCACACGATTTTGTAACTCTGGGGTCTGTTGAAGACCAAAGGCAACTAAGGAAGGCATGGATGGTAAGTTGTAGTCAATTTCACTCGATTTCAAGTCTTAGCGCCATAGCAGTTTACCCATCCACCACTGCCAGCCAAGCAGGTAGCTCTGCAGGTTTTTCTGGAGCAGCTTCCACAGCAAAAAACACTCTGTCCCTGAATATTGGGGCTCACGCTCTGCTGATTGCTGCTTGTGATCACTGAGGTGCAAAGAGGTGGGCAGCATCGTTTCACCTACCCCCATTTTTGGAAGCTCTTCCCACTCCGGCTAAAGTGACTTCCAGGGAGATTTAAAGGGTCAGCAACCTTTTTGCCCACCCTCTTCATTTTTCACCTTTTCCCTTTTGAGAAGCAGTCATTAAAGACTAGAATGTTCAGAAACAAGTGTGCATATTGGGGGCAATTAGCAAGTGATAGCACATGCCTAGGGAAAGGCTCAGAAAAGACCTTAAAAAGACATTACATTTGCCGCTCAGTTTGATCCTCAGCACAGAGACAGCCTACAACAATTAAAAATAAAATCAATAACAAGCAGCAAACACTGGGGAAGGGGGAAAAACTGATTTCCAGAGTTAATACCACATTATTAGATTCAAATGCTAGTGTTCAATAAAAAAAACACAAGGCATACAAAGAAACAGGAACGTCTGGTCCATTCAAAGGAAAAAAAAAATAAATCAACAGAATCTGTCCTGAAAAAGGATGGAAGCTATATTACACAAAGACTTTAAAACAGTTTTCAAGATGCTCAAAAAATTAAAGGAAGATGTGGAGAAAGTCAAGAAAACTATGTGAACAAAAATGGAAATATCAATAAAGAATTAGGAAACAAAAAAAAATTTTGGCATAAAGAAGCACAATAATTGACAAGAAAAATTCACTAGACAGATTCAAAGGCAGAGTTGAGCAGGCAGAAGAAAGAATTCATAAACTTTAAGATAGGACAATGGAAATGATCAAGGCTGAGGGACAGAAAGAAAAAGGATTGAAGAAAAGCAGACGGAGTGTAATCGACCTGTGGGACACCATCAGGCAGACCAATATACATATCACTGGAGTCCTAGAAGGAGAAGAGAGAGAAAGTGGGACAGAGAGAATTGTAGAAGAAATCATGACTTCCTAAATTTAGAAGAAAACTTCCTAAATCTAGTGCAACACACGAACATAAAAATCCATGAATTTCAACCAATTCTAAGTTAGATGAACTCAAAGGGACCCACAGCTAGACACATTATAATCATTCTTTCAAAAGCAAAAGACAAAGAGCGAATCTTGAAAACAGCAAGAGAAGCAAATCATCACATACAAGGGAGACTCAATAAGATTATCTGCAGATTTCTCATCAGAAAATTTGGCCAATATATTCAAAGTGGACAAAGAAGAAAAAAGTCAATGAAGGGTCCTGCCCCGCAAAACTGTCTTTCAAAAATGAAGGAGAGGGTGCCTGGGTGGCTCAGTTGGTTGAGCGACTGCCTTCGGCTCAGGTCATCATCCCGGGGTCCTGGGATCGAGTCCCACATCGGGCTCCCGGCTCGGCGGGGAGCCTGCTTCTCCCTCTGACCCTCTCCTCTCTCATGCTGTTTCTCTCTCGCTCGCTCTCTAATAAATAAATAAATAAATAAAATCTTTAAAAAAAAAAAATGAAG